AGAATAATTTTGAACCACTATGGGCAAAAGTCCAAAAGGATTTAAGAGATTGGAAAAAATTGCAATTGTCATTGTTGGGGAGAATTTCAGCTGTAAAAATCAATGTTCTACCAAAGTTTCTTTTTTTTGTTTCAGATGATACCTATTCTTAAAAAAGAGGCAAATTTGGAGGAATGGCAAAAGGGTATCAATAATTTTATATGGGCCGGGAAGAAACCAAGGGTTAAATTTAAGATATTACAGGATGCTCGAGAAAGAGGGGGACTTAAGGCACCTAATTTGAAATTATATTATGATGCAGCCGCCCTAACTTGGTTAAGTGATTGGCTTAATTTAACAAATATGGATATTCTTTTTTTGGAAGGTTGGGATTTAATATATGGTTGGCATGCATATTTAATTTTTAATAAGAAAGTTGATCGGACTTTTAAATCACATATTTTGAGGAATGCCTTACTTCGTGTTTGGAAGAAGTATTATTATAGATTAAATTATAAAATACCTATCTGGGGGATTCCCAGACATGCAATTGAGGGAACTTCTAAGGGGACAAATTTTGACAAAATCTCGTATAAAGAATTGTTAATTTGTTCTGGTTCGAATTGGCATTTGAAATCCCTAGATGTATTAAGGCAGCAAAATATTCTACAGTCATGGTTTCAATATTTACAAATAATGGATAGATGGACTATAGACAAGAAAGAGGGAATAACACTAGAAGATAGACAATTGGTTATTCAGACTAAAAACCAAAGTCCGGCTCATATAAAAAGAATATACAATGTTTTATTAGAGTTAGATTCGGAAACAGAATTGGTTAAAGACTGTATGATTAAATGGGCTCAGAATATACAGGAGCCGATCTCATTGGATTTATGGGAGACAATTTGGATAAGAAATGTTAAATTTACACAAGCTCAAAATTTGAGAGAAAATTTTTATAAAATGTTTTATAGATGGCACTTAGATCCTAAAAAATTATCTTGTATGTATTCCAATATACAGCCCAAATGTTGGAGATGTGGCAATAATGATGCGACATACTTTCATATTTGGTGGAATTGTAAAAAAGTAAAGGCTTTTTGGATTATGATTTGGTGGAACATTCAAAAGATTTTTAGAAAAAAGATAAAGTTTACTCCTCAACTATTTTTACTTGGTATTTTTGTTGACTTAAATGAAAAAGAAACTACTTTGATGTTGAATTTATTAACTGCAGCAAGGTTACTAGTAGGTTTATATTGGAAGAAAGATTCCTTGCCTACTTTAGAAGAATGGATATTTAAAGTATCTAGTTTTGCAGAAATGGCAAAAATTTCTGCTTATTTAAAGGATCATACACAAGAAAGATATATTATTGTATGGGGAAGGTGGATAGATTATATTCAGAAAAAGTATGGAATTAAAAAGTTTCATTTATTTTATGAATGAATTTTAAATATTATAGAGAATTGTTTTATAGGTTATGGAGTTAAAGGTTAATTATGATATTTTTTTCTTTTTTTTCTTTTTTTTTCTTAATTATTATAATTTTTTTATTATTAACCCTGTATTCTGCTCTGGGAAGTGAAGGGAGGGGGGTTGGGAGTGGGAGGGAGGGTAAGGGTTTTTTTTTTTCTACTTTAAAATTTTATTGTATTTTTATAAATGATTGTATGTTTAAAAAAAGAAAGTCATCTTATACGCCGGAAAAAACGGTACAATATTGAATTTCTGTTTATAGATGAGCACAATAGGAACTCCATTCATTTGCTGCTAGAAAGTGAGTGTTGTCCCCACTGCTTCCCTAATGCTTCCTGAACTCAGCTGGTATTTTTTCCCCATATATTTTATTGATTTTTTAAAACATAAATCACTTAATAGTTGGTAAACAGTGTGTTTGCTGGGTTTACATTTGTAAAGAAAAATCATTAACAATTGGTTTCTATAATCTATAATCCACATATAGTACATTTAGTTGATTTCCCCCTTTCCCCAAAATGTCTTCTTTGCAAACCTTGAAATAATATAGTTCTTATTATTTTGATAAAATATATTTAATTTTTAAATATTCCATTTAATGTGCCTAGTCATCTAATCCTTTAGGTCTTATTCAAAACATTTTTTTCCTTTTTTATACATTATAATTTCCCTAAATTCAGACACATTTAATTATCTAAAACATTTACTTCATCTAGGCCATTTCAGCAGTATTATATTACTTATATCAAGAAATAAAATAAAAGGGGGGGGAAGCATACAGTATTATTTAAGGAATTCATCTCTCTTAGAATGACATATGTATTCAGAATCTTCTGTTTCTTTAACCATATTCAAACAAATGTTTCTTTTTTAAATATTCTCTCTGGTAGACCCCATCATCTATTTTCTTAATTTTCACTTTGAACTTTTTCCTTTGACCAGTATCTTTCTTAATCAATTGATTTGCTGAATCAAAATTTTTTTCCATATATTCATGACTGCTGCTATAGGTATAAGAAGTAAATCAAATGTTTCTTTTTTTGTAGATGTAATGTCCTTAATTTATATAGCTTACTGTTTTCTACTATTTAATTGCTTTTCCTGAAAAAGAATAAAGTGATGGGCAATGTAGAAAAATGGGATTTTTGAATGCTTTGTCCTGCTGGCTGTGAGATTCTGGGAGTTGAAGTCCACATGCCTTAAAATTGTCAAGGTTGAGAAACACTGTGTTAGTGCTTATTTCTGTAAAAAAAAAAAAGGGGGGGGGCTGGCCACTAGGGGGCAGATTGGTTTTAAATTCAGAGAACAGCTACCGGACTTATACAGCGTATAAGACGAGCCCGGACTTTTGAGAAGATTTTCAGGGTTTAGAAAGTCGTCTTATACGCTGGAAAATATGGTAGGCTAGGTCAGGAAACAGACATTCCAGAATATAGGAATGCTACTTTATTGTTGTAAGGTATAATAATAAAACTTCGAAGATCTACCAGAATTTCCCTCTGCCTCCTTTTATACCAAACAGAATTATTATGGGATTATTTTGGGATTCTTAGAGTTTCTACTTTCCCAGAACTGAGTTGTCATTTTTCTTAATTACTAATATATTCCTTCATCAAGGTTATCTCCAAACATACCTTTACAAAAACTAACAATACAAAAATGATTTCAGCATTTAGTCTTCTCTAGTTTTCTGTTTGACTGGGAGATGAGACAGTGACAAATGAATGTAAATATTGCAGCCAGTATGTGGAAAAGGACTTTCAAAAATCTGGCTGTAAATTGACAACCCTAATTTAGGATTATGTATTTGACTAAACCTCTGCACTAAAGTACATGGTCTGGAGCAAATTGCCCAACTTAGTATTGCAGTTCTGACCCAATGACAGATATGGCATCTTTAACATCTGTTCTTACCCTAGAACAAAGTTCCAGAAAATCCAGATGTCTTGAGAAGCAGCTGAAATGAAAAGGTCAAGACCTGAAAGATGCCTTCTTCTTAAATAGACTATTTAAATTGGCTTTCTTTTTTTTTAGAAGTTGAATTAATGGCCTAGTGTTCTCTATACAGAGATTAACCTTTTGTAAAATGTTGGCAAATTTCAAAATTGGAAACTTGAACTTTTGAATGTTCTACCTGCACACTTTCTGTAGAAATCCAATTAACCAGATCATTTAATTGAGGAAGATCAAAGTTACATGTTTCCAAATTACCATACAGTTTGTTTTGGTAAAAGTATTGAACACATTCCTGACATGAGCAATTATAGTCTTTTGAGAAAACAATATATCAAAATGTCATGCAGATGAATGACAATATTCTTACCCAAAATATCTGAGAATATCTTATTTGTGTATCTGGAGAAAACAGCTGGAGAGGTCTCAAAGAAGAATTTTCTTTCTTTTTTCTTTCTTTTCATATACATATACATATGTACAGTGTGTGTGTGTGTGTGTGTGTGTGTGTGTGTGTGTGTGTGTGTGTGTGTGTGTGTGTGTAAATAAAATATAGATAGATAACCATCAAATCATTGATGGAATGTGCAACTAAAGAAGTGGAGGAATGTTGGCAGTAGTATACTAGTTTCCAAGGGAGGAGGCAGTACACTCCAGAAAGGGACCAAGACAAGAAACTGCAGAATCCTGAACTGGATGGTGGTGAGAAAAAAGTTTAAGGTAGTCATAACCTAGAATCTCCCAGGATATTTGTTAGGTTAGAAAGTTATAGCTTTAGTCTGGCAAGATTCTATTAGGTGTAAGCAAATAGAGATCTGAATTTGCGTGGATAGCACTGTGACATTTCTGAGACTTGAGCCTGACAAAACCTTGGATAGCAATAAGACTAAAATATTATATGGCTCTCATATTCTAGTACAATCATGATTAAAAACTTAAAACACTATACAGGTAGGGCATCATCCAGCAGACAGCTCTTTGAGAGCAAATCCTTCTAGTGGCAACTCTTTGAGAGTGAACCTGGGTCCTGGCAGCACAGAATGATGGATTGCTTTTTGAATCCTTCCCATCTCCATGAAGAGATTGCTTTATGAAACACATCCATTGGCCTTTTTATATAGTACAAGGCAATCTGATGATGTCCTGGAAGCAGGAGCTATTTTGGAGTGGCCAAAATGAATTGTGGCCACTCCCAAAATGGGGCATGCTTCAGAGGACACGCAGCATTTGTGTAGTTTGTGGTTAGGGCATTGCAATTCAATCTTGAAAGCTCTCCTCTATTTCAACTTATACCTAGCCCATCAAGGAACAGTTGTTTTGAATTCCTTTTTTTTTTAATTTCTAATTTCCCAGGATTTAAATACATTTTCTGTTACAGCTTGCTTCTTCTACACTATCTATATGGGAATTAGGATGAGCGACCATTTCATCCTTTCATATTTGCATAATTTGAAACCTCAACGCAATGTGCCATTTAAGAAGTATCTTAGTATACTAACAAAAGTTACACATGTTGCTTTGACACTTTTGGTTTACTTTGTAACAGAGGATCAGGATGATTATTTTCTTTTATGTGATGCCTTACCTGAAGACAGAGAACTAAGGGAGAAACTTCAACAACAAAGACTGGTAAGATATTTTATTTAAATATACTGAGATTGTGAAATGATTTATACAGATAAAATGGAAGTCAACAACTCCTAGTTGTTCTCTTTCAATAGTATGTTACAGACTTTATCCTTGAATCTGAACTTTATCCTTGAATTGTCTATGGTTAAATTCATGTGGGTAAGGGTTGCACTCCTAGAAAAAGATGCATTGCTTTGCCAAGGTGAGGTTCTGATGATAGAGGAGTATGGACTCCAGGAAATGGGAATTCTAGGAATCCTAAGAAAGGAGAGTTCAAGAACTGATCACCTGTCCTAGTGTTAACTTCCAATCTCCAGTGTCTTTTTGCAAAATAGCAATTTACCAACTGAGCATTAACTGAAACAATTGAAGCTTCTTATTAATATGAGCCACTTAATTACCAAACCATCAAGTGCTGTAAGAAGCAGCACAAATTTTAAACTCTTGGAGACCCAAATTAGATAAAGCTTTAGAAAGATTTCTGCTCCCTTGGTCCTCTTTGAATTGATTTGTGCATGTGTTTGTGTTTTACCATTTAATGATTCATTGAATGGAAAGGATACCATTCAGACAGAGTAAAAGAACAGAACTCAACTTTATGAATCTTTCACAAAACACTTCTCAGAATGGTGCTTTTCAGCTCATTGCATGATCTGTTCCTGATGAAATAGCAGTAGAGTTGTTTGTGTGAAAGAACAAATGATGTGGAATTTTCACATTAGTGAATCTCTGTTTTTGCTGCCATTGGAGAACTGGGCATGCATATGTAAAACTAGTCTGCAATGGTATTCTGCCCAGTCACCCTCTTCCTTTGTAAATAAACAAACTTCAAGAATGAAAGGTCAAGGATAGTAGGACATTATAGGAGAGAAACTTTGGTACATAGAAGCAGATCAGACCTTTGCAAACAACATGGATAAGCTTGAATTATTCCTATTCCCATTGTCAAGGTGGTCAAAGGCAATGTGGAGATGAATAAGTAGGAGTCTTACAAAAGAGATCCTATGGTCAGTTTGGTGGCTTCAAGTTTTTCTTTTGGGTTATTTGTAAAGCATTTTAATCTCAAGTGCCCTACAGTATTTATATAGACCTAAATATCTTCAACACTCCTGCTTCCCAGTCTCTTGATAATTTCCTATTACTGAAATATAAATGATTTATTTATTTGGTTTTACATGGCAAAGATATATCTTGATTCTCTCACCCTTGGTTTGTTGCCCAAAGCAACATGTAACTAAGCACTCAGAGTACTGAGCAGTAAAAGCAGTAAAAAAAATAAAAGTAGGAATAGAAACAGAAGTACTGAAAAAGTGGGAGGCTCATTAGAAATAATTTATGAAAAGCTTTTTTGCTTTTAAACATATTTTTAAAAGTATAAAGTTGATTTATGTTTGTGGGGTTTTTTTTTACTTTGCATTGATATGCACTGATATCTAACACTATGCAAGACATACTTTTTCTCCATACAAACCCTCAGTGGTAAATTAGTCTGAGAGAGAAAGAGAGGCTCAAAGGCATCCTGCTTTTTTTCACAGGAATCTATCTGCTTCTCAAGCTGCCATTGACAGTCATATTAACTAACTTGTATTATAGACTAAGTCCATCAAGTCATAGTTGTTTAACAGATCTTCTAAATATTTTTAGGATTTCATGGAGTTGGAAAGTTAGGATGGTTACAGTTTCTTCAGTTTGTATTCAAAATACTTAGTTTGATCAGTCTTCATTTGTTTCTGTTATTGCTACTTTATACTATAGGAATACATTAACTTAATAAATAACAGCAAAAACATTTTTTCCAATGGTCAAATGATATTGCACCACATATTATACAATATATTACAAGAATATGTTGTATATATTTCAGCACGGTGCAACATGATATTATAATAATGGAAGAAAAAACATATTTTTTCTAGGACTAATTTGCAACGTATTCTTAATAAAGATGTGATGGAATATTTTGTTTTTCAATCAATAGAAAGATATTCTGGATCAGCAGCAGCAAGAAAGATATGATGCAGATTTTCATTACATATGCATGTTTTGTGACCAGCCTTTTTCAGGCAACAGGTTAGTACTAAACATAGTGTATTTTATGTTCATTAACATCCTAATGCTATATAATTGGAAAAAGTTCAGATGGGGTATCACAGAACAGTTTTCAGACGTTGTTATAGTATGCTTACAAATTAGGGTAGTAGCCTATAGCAAAGGTGTGAAACATATGACTCAACAGCTATTGGCTTTTGTTGATCTTTAGCCATTGACTTTACCTAATAGGACAATTGTAACTCTATGGGAGTTACAATTCGCCATATCTGAGGTCAACATAAAACCACATGGTGTAGTGCAGTGTTTTTCAACCTTTTCACAGATTGTACCACTTTTAGGATATGGCAATATTCAAGTACCACCAGTCACCTAGCAAGGTGTCAAAAACTTGACCCCAAAAAAAGAGGAAAAAAAAGTGATGAAGTACAGATAGTCCTCAACTTACAATTGTTTGCTTAGTGATTGTTCGAAGTTACAATGGCACTGAAAAAGTGACTTAATGACCATTTTTCACTCTTATGACCGTTGCAGGGTCAAGTGATTTACATTTGGATGCTTGGCAACTGATTCATATTTATGATGGTCACAATTCAGGATCACGTGATCCCCTTTTGCAACCTTCTGACAAGCAAAATCAATGGAGAAACCAGATTCACTTAAGAACTGTGTTATTAATTTAACAACTGCAGTGATTCACTTAACAAATGTGGCAAGAAAAGTCATAAAATGGGACATTCAACAAATTTCTCACTTAGCAATATAAATGTTGGGCTCAGTTGTGTTGTAAGTTGAGGACTACCTGTACACCCACTTACTAACATTTTTAATGAGAAACCTGGGCTTGTTTCTTTGACATTAATCTTCGCAGTGTTCTATCCCTTTCTCTCCTTCTGGTTGACTCAAAGAAGCCTCTCCTCCGCCTCTCTTTCTCCATCCCCTTCTCTTTCCCCATCAGTTTTTTTTCCCTCCCTTTCCCTCCAAAACCTTTTATAGGCTTTCCTCTCTCCTCCTTTTCTCTTCAATGTAGCTGCAGATGATGCCTTTCCCCAAGGCTGAAAAGTTTCTCCGCCTCTCTTTCTCTGTCTCCTTCTCTTTCCCCATCAGGTTTTTTACTCCCTTTCCCTCCAAAACCTCCTTTTATATCCTCCCCTCCTTGTCCCCAAGGCTGCACTGCTTCCAGAAGTGTCAGTCAGCTGGAGCCCCATGGCTATCCTGGGAACTCAGTAGAGCTCCGGCAACACCGTAGTTCCACCTGACTCTCCCAGAGGTCTTTGTGGTGTTGCTGTTGCTTCAGATCATGCCCTGCTACACTTTTACACTTTTTTTAAATACTTTTTTTTACAGTGCTTTTCAACGCGTACCACCTGCCAGGTGCCAAAGTATCACCAGTAGTATGCGTACCACAGGTTGAAAAGCACTGATCTAGTCATCTGCTTCATGCATTATTCCGCCCAGTGCTCCTAAGAAGCTCCTCAGCACAGAGGTGAATCATGGTTATAATGACTCTTGATAACTGATAGGAAATAGCAAAAAGGCTATATAATCTTGTCCAAAGATGCTTCCGTGGCATATGGCCAGTATGACTATATGCCAAGACACATGGAACACTGTTATCTTCCCACTGAAGTGGTACCTATTTCTCTACTTGTATTTGCATGCTTTTGAACTGCTAGGTTGGCAGGAGCTGGGGGAAGATTGGGAGCTCACCCCATCACTCTGTACCTGAATCTCAAATTGCCAACCTTCCCATCAACAAACCCAGTGTCTTAACCATTAGACCACTATGCCCCACTGTGGTGATGTCTTATATATGTTTAGTTACCTAAGGTGTGAAGGAACCGGGTTTTTTGTCTGCCCCAAATTAATTTTGGTGGAAGCTCCCAAATTTTAATATTTTGTTAGAACTTTTTCTTTCTCTCTGCACCACATATTGTACAGTGTATTACAAGAATATATTACATATCGTTCAGCACAGTGCAACACATTATGTTGTAACTCCCTGCTGAGTTTCACCCTTTTATAAACTGATAAATAATTTTGCTCTACCTAGTAGAAAACCTGCTCCAAACCTATGATTTATTTTAGATCTGTATATTCCAGCCGTAAAGGAAAGCATTGTTGAAAATAGTTCTCTATAATTTTAGGTAAAATCAGCACAGGTTTATAGACTCTATGCCAGACATGTCAAACTCACGATGTCACATGACATTGTGCGACATATTGGAACTTTTTCCCCATTGCCGGCAATGGGGTGGGCGTGGTTTCCTCATGACGTGTCCGGCCCGCGGGCCGACAGTTTGACACCCCTGCTCTATGCCTTCATCACTTTTCATTACATTTTCAATTTCATGGCCCTGTTGCATAGCATTAGTATATATAACACATTGCAATAGTTACTATAGCCAGCACTACTTTGGTAGCAAAAGCTAATCATGGTTGCTAGCGTAGGTTTGTTCTGCTTTTGCCTCAAAGCCTGCATAAAAGTTTATTGAATCAGGCTATAGGCATTCTTTTATTTTATTTTTAGCTTGGAAGACTTGACAGGGTGGTTTGGAGGCCTCAGATAAGAGAAAATATTACAAAAGGACAAGAAGCTGCACTGGTCTTCATATTCTGTACTTAGTGTGAAGTCATTGTTGAAGCAGTTGTTTGTTTTAGTTGAAATATAGGATGGTCATGTCATTTAAACTGGCTGTTCTGTATGAAATTTAGCTGTAGTTTGTACTATCATTTTTCTATGCTTATGAGAATAGACGATCCCTTACAGTGCTTCTATATGAACAAATGAAATTTGTTATTTTGTTTTAATAAATGAAAGCAAGCATTCTGGTAAGTGGAAATTTAAACTTAACTCTCAGAATATTTTTGTTGATTGTATTGGCTGTAGCAAAACTTACCTGAAAAAGAGGGTTTCTTTAGTTAAATTAATCCACCTAAGAAGAGCAGCTCCCTCTTGTGTATCACTATATTAAAGGATATTTGGATAGGAGTATATAAGAGTTTTATCCAGAAACTTCTTGTTTGAAAAATATATTTATTATTATGGTAGAAATCTGGAATAAAACTCCAACTCAAAAAAGGTGGATTTCCATGGATACCATGAAACACCATTGCCCAGACAAAGAAAAGACCATATGAAAGAAAAAAGAAAAATATATGAGAAAAAACATATATATTATGAAGACTGGTATAATTTATTTACTATCATGTGCTGCATTTCTATAAAATTAAATTTTGAAAATTTCAGAACATTACATAAACCCAGCCTGGGGAGATACGGGGAGCTGAGGTAAGGGGGCATTGCTTTTCTGATATGCCAACATTGTGGAATAGCGCCCTCCCGTCCCCTCCTCCCCTTGAAGATCAGACTGGCTCCTGCTGTTCTCAGCAAGCTCCTAAAAGCCAAGGTTTTTCAGACAGCCTTCAGATTGGATTTCATATTGTCACCTTTTATTTTATTTCTATTCTTGCAGTGTTGCTGTGTTTTTATTTGTGTACGGGATTGTTTGATATTGGGTTTCTTTCTATGCTTGCAAGCCATCAAGAGTCATTTTTATGGGCTACATAAAATATGTTTAATAGTATTTTAGACATAAAATATGTTTATTATTTAAATAAATAATAACCATATTATATGTTTAAATTATTTCTATTATTTTAGTTAACCTAACAAAAGTTCAAGGTTTCAACATACTGAAACTTAACAAAGTAGAAAGTTTTGAATCCTGGAATCTGAAGATGATAGTTAGGTAGGCTGGGCCCTGCTTACTCTGAATATCATTTTGGTTCTCTATGTTATTCTATTTTTGATGCAACTATTCAGCCCAGCAAATAGTATGATGTGAACATGAGAATGAGCCAGGATGAGCCAGGATGAGCCGAGGTGGCGCAGCAGTTAGGGTGCAGTACTGCAGGCCACTTTAGCTGACTGTGTTCAGCAGGTCAGCGGTTCAAATCTCACCGGCTCAAGGTTGACTCAGCCTTCCATCCTTCTGGGGTAGGTAAAATGAGGACCCAGATTGTTGAGGGCAATGTAAATTTATATATACATTGCTTACTGGTGTACACCGCTTAGAGAGTGCTTGCACTTAAAGCGGTATATAAGTCTCATAAATAAATAAATAAATATGGTCTTTGCTTTAAAAAAATATATATGATTGTGGTTGTTTGCCACCAGTGTTTCTATTCTAATGAAGTATGAAATATATTAAAATCATTTGTCTTCTTTGCTGCAGTGTAAAATGGTATCCCTGATGTATAATTACAATATTGATCAAAATCAGAATTGATTTTGGTTTTAAAGATGCAGATGATGTTGTGATATGGTGTTGTGAGAAGGAAATAACTTTGAAATATATGCATCCTAATTCCTTGCTGCTAGCAAAATAAAAAGATTTCCATGAAGTTATTCAGTAATAATTGTATTGGTCTGAAATTCACATTTTTCTTTGGTTAAGCACAAATTCTGTCAGTAAAAGGATCACTACAGTTACTTAGCACTCTTTGAAAGTATTTCAAGTAGCATTTGTGAATTTCTGGATATTAAGAGCTGCTTTGAATATTATTAATCTTTGTATGGCTGTTTACAGTGAAATTGGAAATCTAAGCAGCAATGCTTAATTCTAAGGATTATGGTTTTCATTTGAGTTTATTTAGTGGGGACCTGAAATGTATGTGGGGGGGGGAAGCAACACCTATATTCTGTTTCATTTATTTTTTAGGTCAGTCCTTCTCAATCACATGACAAAAGATCATGCATTCAATATTGGATTGCCAGATAACATTGTGAACTGTAAGGAGTTTTTGGATGTTCTTCAGAAAAAAATTGACAGGTATCTATTTGTATATAGCCAAGAATTAAAACAGTGCTGGAATACTACTATCATGTCTCCCCTATTTCTTCTTTTCTTTAGACTTGCCAAACCTAAGTCCTGCAGCCATTCTTTGTATGTTTTAGTCTCCGGGCCTTGGATATCTTAGCTGCTCTTTTCTGATTTTTTTCCAAACTCTCAACATCT